TCAAGCGAAGGCCGCCTGAATGTGCTCCAAGCCGAGACAAACTACACATAGAGAAATGCTGTAACCGCATGACTGGGGGCATGATCTCGACCCCGAACCCGGCTTAGTCATCGCCGTCTCGGTTGTTTTCTCAGCCATCTTAATCATTGCACCAGCAAATTGAAGAATAACTCATTGTTTGTGATTAGAAAACTTATGAGAACAAGTGCAACCTTCAGCACACAACGTCCAGAGGGGGTGAACACGCTCGACCCCTATGGGAGAGTTCAGTTGGCGCAACGTTTAACAATTGTTTGTTTCAGTAGCGTGAATCGTTCCTGTTCACACCAAGGTGAAGGGACTGAATATTGAAGGAATCAATCCTGAGGATTTCATTGGCCTTGTCAGGAGTGATTGTAGATCCTTCAACCGAAGTCACGAGAGTGCGACTCCCCATAGTATGTTATACCAAAGTTGACTGACGGAAAGGGAACTTGAATCACATGCCTTAAAGCTGAAATGATATCTTGAATCACATGCCTTAAAGCTGAAATGGTATCTTGAATCACATGCCTTAAAGCTGAAATGGTATCTTGAATCACATGCCTTAAAGCTGAAATGGTATCTTGAATCACATGCCTTAAAGCTGAAATGATATCTTGAATCACATGCCTTAAAGCTGAAATGGTATCTTGAATCACATGCCTTAAAGCTGAAATGGTATCTTGAATCACATGCCTTAAAGCTGAAATGATATCTTGAATCACATGCCTTAAAGCTGAAATGATATCTTGAATCACATGCCTTAAAGCTGAAATGATATCTTGAATCACATAAAGCTGAAATGGTATCTTGAATCACATGCCTAAAGCTGAAATGGTATCTTGAATCACATGCCTTAAAGCTGAAATGGTATCTTGAATCACATGCCTTAAAGCTGAAATGGTATCTTGAATCACATGCCTTAAAGCTGAAATGATATCTTGAATCACTGCTTAAAAGCTGAAATGATATCTTGAATCACATGCCTTAAAGCTGAAATGATATCTTGAATCACATGCCTTAAAGCTGAAATGGTATCTTGAATCACATGCCTTAAAGCTGAAATGATATCTTGAATCACATGCCTTAAAGCTGAAATGGTATCTTGAATCACATGCCTTAAAGCTGAAATGGTATCTTGAATCACATGCCTTAAAGAGCAACTGCCTCTAAAAAAAAACAACTTCTCATTTAGAAAACCGCTTATGTGGCATCGCTATGAGTCAGAAACATTTATTCTATTGTCAAATTTAACTACAAAGTGTAAATATGATAATTTTGGTCAAGTCAGTCTTTGTGAGACATGTGGTCGTGACTGCATCACAACGTAAATTAAGGTTGGGTTTGTTTCAATTCTTCCCACAGCTTGCAGCACACAAGAATCATCAATTCTGAGTGCAGCTATACGGGACCCAATCGTAACGCCTTCTGGTAAATTTGAGTTGACTTTGGATATCCCTATGGGGATAGTTAAGGACCATTGGTAAATCATACAATGCACATGGGACAATGTTAAAATTCCAACAGCTCCAAATTTCAATGACTTAAAAACATCAAACCAACTATAAATTGTAGAAATGAATATACAAATATTGAAAGCATTTAATAAGACTAAAAGGTGTGAAACATGAAAATATTGTCTCATTTACATTGTGTAATTTAATGATGGTCCCTAACTAGCCGTGGAGATAGGCTATCCAAAGTCAAACCAACTTTGCCACAGTAGCACACCAGCCAGCTGAAGGTAATTGGCTAAATAATTTGGCTAACTTTTCCCACCTGCGAACACACACAAGAAAAAAACAACAACACATCAAACCACACCCTGAAACCAACTCATGTTTGAATTCAGTCATGGCCACTAGCATTTCTTTATTAACCAACTCTAAAAACGAGGCCAAATCATGAAGTGCAGTCGCCCTTTAAAGCTGAAATGGCATCTTGTATCACGTTTCAGGAGAAGACCCAGATGCAGACAGTATCGAAGTAACAATAGTTTATTACAAAAACAGGGGGCTGGCAAACGACAGGTCAAGGGCAGGCAGAGATCAGTAATCCAGATCAGAGTCCAAAAGGTACAGAACGGCAGGCAGGCTCAGGGTCAGGGCAGGCAGAGGTCAATAATCCAGGGTGGTGTGACAAGGTACAGGACGGCAGGCAGTCTCAGGGTCAGGGCAGGCAGAGGTCAATAATCCAGGGTGGTGTGACAAGGTACAGGACGGCAGGCAGTCTCAGGGTCAGGGCAGGCAGAGGTCAATAATCCAGGGTGGTGTGACAAGGTACAGAATGGCAGGCAGGCTCAGGGTCAGGGCAGGCAGAATGGTCAAAACTGGAAAAACAGGGGCTAGAGCAAAACAGGAGTATGGGAAAACCGCTGGTAGGCTTGACAAGACGAACTGGCAACAGACAAACAGAGAACACAGGTATAAATACCCTGGGGATAATGGGGAAGATGGGCGACACCTGGAGGGGGGTGGAGACAATCACAAAGACAGGTGAAACAGATCAGGGTGTGATATCTTGATTCAATGCCTTAAAGCTGAAATGGCATCTTGATTCACATGCTTTAGAGCTGAAATGGTATCTTGATTCAATGCCTTAGAGCTGAATGGTATCTTTAATCACATGCCTTAAAGTTGAAATGGCATCTTGATTCAATGCCTTAGAGCTGAAATGGTATCTTGATTCACATGCTTTAAAGCTGAAATGGCATCTTGATTCAATGCCTTAGAGCTGAAATGGTATCTTGATTCACATGCTTTAAAGCTGAAATGGTATCTTGATTCATTTACATTTTAGTCATTTAGCAGACACTCTTATCCAGAGCAACTTACATTATCTTTTTATTTTCCATACTGGCCCCCGGTGGGAATCGAACCCACAACCCTGGCGTTGCAAACGCCATGCTCTACATCCCTACCGGCCATTCCCTCCCCTACCCTGGACGACGCTTGGCCAATTGTGCGCCGCCCCATGGGTCTCCCGGTCGTGGCCGGCTACGACAGAGCCTGGATTCGAACCAGGATCTCTAGTGGCACAGCTAGCACTGCGATGCAGTGTCTTAGACTACTGCGCCACTTGGGAGACTTATTGAGTCAAATGCTTTAAAGCTGAAATGGTATCTTGACTCAAATGCTTTAAAGCTGAAATGGTATCTTGATTCAAATGCTTTAAAGCTGAAATGGTATCTTGATTCACATGCCTTAAAGCTGAAATGGTATCCATAGAGCATCACTGTCCTGCTGTAGATTTTCCAATATCACCTCTGTGTGCACATAATCCTCTGATATCACCTCTGTTTGCACAGGAACCTCTGACATCACACCTGTGTGCACCGGAACCTCTGACATCACCACTGCCCTGAGGAGCCTCGTATGGACACCAGTCACCAGTCTGTCAATCAAGACTGCCAGCCGAAACCTCACATGCACACTATGATTGGTGTGGGGGTGGATGGGGAGTCGTTGGAGCACAGAGACACAACTATCATACCTATCACAGCTATTATAGCAGTGGACTCAGGTGATGTTGCAGTTCAGCTGGACTCACACCCTGTGGTGGAAAACACTCAGATTACAGGGCGTGCTGAGTTTGAAATGCCCACTGTTGTGATACTCCCCTCAGTACAGGACCATGCAACAGAGGAGGACTCCTACTTACCCCCAAAATATCTGAATAATCACCACCCACGGTGTGAGGCTTCAGACACAGAATACTCCCTGGAGAAGGAGGAGGAGAGAGAGAAAGTTGAGAAGAGAGGGAAAGAGGATGTCAGAAAGAAAGATGGAGAGAGAGAGAAAGAGAAAGAGTTAGGTAAAGAGATAAATAAAGACAAAGAGAGAGAGAAAGAGAAGGATAAAACAAATAAAAAGGTGCGAGAGACAGAGGAGAAGAGAGAGACAGAGGAGGAGAGAGAAGGAGAGAGACAGAGAAGAGAGAGAAGAGAAGGAGAAGAGACAGAGGAGAGAGAGGACAGGAAGGAGAGAGAGACAGAGGAGGAGGAGAGGAGGAGAGAGACAGAGAAGGAGAGAGAGACAGAGGAGGAGAGAGAGACAGAGGGAAGGATAGGAGAGAGAGACAGGGGAAGGAAAAGGAGAGAGAACAGAGGGGAGAGGAGAGAAGAGAGAGAGACAGAGGAGGAGAAGAGAGAAGAGAAGGAGAGAGAGACAGAGGAGGAGAGAGAGACAGAGAAGGAGAGAGAGACAGAGAAGGAGAGAGAGACAGAGGAGGAGAGAGAGACAGAGGAGGAGAGAGAACAGAGGGGGAGAGAGAGACAGAGAGGGAGAGAGAGACAGAGAAGGAGAGAGAGACAGAGAAGGAGAGAGAGACAGAGGAGGAGAGAGAGACAGAGGAGGAGAGAGAGACAGAGGAGAAGAGAGAGACAGAGGAGAGAGAGAGAACAGAGAGAGAGAGAGAGAGAGGAGAGAGAGACAGAGAAAGAGAGAACAGAGAGGAGCAGAAAGAGGAGAGAGAGAACAGAGAGAGGAGAGACGAAAGAGAGAGACAGAGAAAGAGGCAGAGAGAGAGAGGACAGGAGAAGAGAGAGAGACAGAGGAGGAGAGAAGGAGACAGAGAGAGAGAGAAGAGAGAAAGAAGAGAGACAGAGAAGAGGAGAGAAGACAGAGAGGAGAGAGAGACAGAGAGGAGAGAGAGACAGAGAGGAGAGGAACAGAGAAGAGAAGAACAGAGAGAGAGAGAGACAGAGGAGACAGAGACGAGAGCGAGAGTAGAGTACAGAAGATGAGACAGCCAATAGACAACAGAGGAGGACAGAGGAAGAGACAGAGAAGCAAGACTAGAGAGATAGAGAGTGAGGTTCAGACAATCATCTGTAGACCACAGCCAGACCAACCAGGGCAGGCGCAGAGCTTTTCCAGCATCTAGGAGATCGAGAGAGTGGTCAGAGCATCATTGTAGCACAGCCAAGGGGGGGACAGGGTCTGGAGGTGGCTCAGCATCACTCTGTAGCCACCAGCCCCATGACCCCACTCCAGGGGGCTGGCGCCGGGGCCTTCCTCTTCCCAGCATCCTCTAGGAGTCTGGAGGTGGTTCAGCATCATTCTGTAGCCACCAGCCCCATGACCCCACCCCAGGGGGCCAGCGCCGACGCCTTCCCCTTCCCAGCATCCTCTAGGAGTCTGGAGGTGGTTCAGCATCATTCTGTAGCCACCAGCCCCATGACCCCACCCCAGGGGGCCAGCGCCGACGCCTTCCCCTTCCCAGCATCCTCTAGGAGTCTGGAGGTGGTTCAGCATCACTCTGTAGCCACCAGCCCCATGACCCCACCTCAGGGGGCCAGCGCTGACGCCTTCCCCTTCCCAGCATCCTCTAGGATTCTGGAGGTGGTTCAGCATCACTCTGTAGCCACCAGCCCCATGACCCCACCCCAGGGGGCTGGTGCCGACGCCTTCCCCTTCCCAGCATCCTCTAGGAGTCTGGAGGTGGTTCAACACCACTCTGTAGCCACCAGCCCAATGACCCCACCCCAGGGGGCTGGCGCCGGGGCTTTCATCTTCCCAGCATCCTGTAGGGGGCCGGGTGCGGAGACTAAGGATGCAGAGCTGCAGTTGGGCCGCCAGGTGGAGTTCCGCTCTGTCGCCACGGCACCCATGACTCCAAAAAACCCCAACAGCCCCACCGTCCCCGCTGCCTTCCCAGAGCTCAGCAGGAGAGAAGGGGAGGACAGGAAGGAGAAAGAGGGGAGGGACGAGAGGGAAACTACAACTAAATGTGAGTCAGAGCCTGTTGTAGTTACTCCTCGTCTGGTGTTAGCCCCCGTACTGAAATGTAGCGCTCCGAACGAGGAGGTGGCTGAAGAGACAAAGTCTCAGTCCAACATGCCTCTAGATAGCTCCGCTTACTCAGACCCTCAGATTGAAAGACTCTGTCACAACCACGCTGATGAACCGGAACCAGTGTCGGTTAAAAGGAGAGGGCAACATGGGGCGACTGGGGACGCTGTCCATCAAGAGGTCACCATTCTGGTGACCCAGCATGACAGCGTCGGAGTTGAGGAAGAAGAGGAGGAGGAAGAAGAGGAGGAGGAGGAGAGAAGGGAGGAGATGATGTCATGTATTCACTCCACTGAGCCTGAAGGGTCTGAAGGGTCTGTGGAGGGAGACAACAGTGAGGGGGTGAACGTTGTTCCTCCGGTGCCCCAAAACAGCCTGGATGATGGGAGGAGTGACGACACAGCTCAACCCAAAACCACAGGGACCGTCATGAACCCACGCTCACACGGAAACAGACAGGAAGATTCTCTCCCTCCTTCCGGTGAAGACATTCAAACAGACACAAAGCAGAAGACATCACCACAATCCCTGACTAAAAACAAGCACCCTGAACAAATAGGAGAGGAAGCGAAGCTCTGCTTTAGTGAGGAGCAAACCAACCAGACTGAACAGCGCAGCCAAGTGGACAGGAGTGGAACTCCCCAACCCAACCAGACAGAACAGCGCAGCCTAGTGGACAGGAGTGGATCTCCCCAACCCAACCAGACAGAACAGCGCAGCCTAGTGGACAGGAGTGGAACTCCCCAACCCAACCAGACAGAACAGTTCCAGCGCCCTCTAGTTGGCCCTCCAGTCCCTGCCTCCCTGGCTCGGCAGCAGCAGCACATGATGACCCAGGTTAGTCTAGAGGTGGTTCAGCATCACTCTGTAGCCACCAGCCCCATGACCCCACCTCAGGGGGTCGGCGCTGACGCCTTCCTCTTCCCAGCATCCTCTAGGAGTCTGGAGGTGGTTCAGCATCACTCTGTAGCCACCAGCCCCATGACCCCACCTCAGGGGGTCGGCGCTGACGCCTTCCTCTTCCCAGCATCCTCTAGGAGTCTAGAGGTGGTTCAGCATCACTCTGTAGCCACCAGCCCCATGACCCCACCTCAGGGGGTCGGCGCTGACGCCTTCCTCTTCCCAGCATCCTCTAGGAGTCTGGAGGTGGTTCAGCATTACTCTGTAGCCACCAGCCCCATGACCCCACCTCAGGGGGTCGGCGCTGACGCCTTCCTCTTCCCAGCATCCTCTAGGAGTCTGGAGGTGGTTCAGCATCACTCTGTAGCCACCAGCCCCATGACCCCACCCCAGGGGGCCAGCGCCGACGCCTTCCCCTTCCCAGCATCCTCTAGGAGTCTGGACGTGGTTCAGCATCACTCTGTAGCCACCAGCCCCATGACCCCACCCCAGGGGGCCGGCGCCGACACCTTCCTCTTCCCAGCATCCTCTAGGAGGAAGGGGGCGGAGACTAAGGACGCTGAGCTGCAGGTGGGCCGGCAGGTGGAGTTCCGTTCTGTCTCCACGGCACCCATGACTCCAAAAACGGCCCCCACCGCCCCCGCAGCCTTCCCAGAGCTCAGCGGGAGAGAGGGGGAGGAGAGGAAAGAGGAGAGAAAGGTGGAGGAGAGTACGAACGAGAAGAACGGGGGGAGAACAGAAGAGAAAACTGAAGCAAAAGCAAAGGAGGAGGTAAAGGAGGGTGAGGAGCAGACAAAGGAAGAGGAGAGGTTGGACGAGGTGGTGCAGGAGGTACGGTGGGACGAGAAGGGGATGACGTGGGAGGTGTATGGGGCAGTAGTAGAGGTAGCCGTCCTGGGCTCAGCCATACAGAAACACCTGGAGAAACAGGTTGGGAAGCTCAGGAAGCATCCCTCCCCTGCCCTGCCTCCCCCTCCTCCCCTCAACCCAACCGCCATGCCCCTCCTTCCCCCCCCTCCCCTCAACCCAACCGCCATGCCCCTGCCTCCCCCTCCTCCCCTCAACCCAACCGCCATGCCCCTGCCTCCCCATCCTCCCCTCAACCCAACCGCAATGCCCCTGCCTCCCCCTACCCCTCCTCCCCTCAACCCAACCGCCATGCCCCTGCCCTCCACCCCTCCTCCAGCCTCTGGGGCCACCCAGGGATTGTCAGGTAAGGGCTCGGCCAGGAAGAGAGGCGAGCGGGACGGGAAGAGAGGCAGGCGCCGGAGGAATCCTTTCCGTTTGCTGTTGAAGAACATGCAGCCCCCCAACTGTTGCTCCCGAGCTCATTCCACTGAGTGACACTGCAGGAACATCATCCAAAACCACCTTTCCTCACCCACTGGACTGAAGGCTAACTACATTATCTCAATTCCCTTTCCTCACCCACTGGACCGTAGGCTAACTACATGTAGCCTAGCGGTTAGAGTATTGGGCCAGTAACCGGAAGGTTGCTAGTTTGAAAAAAATCTGTAATTCTGCCCTTTAGCAAGGCAGTTAACCCCCAACAACAGCCCCCGGGCACCCAATGTGGCACCCCCCCCCCCCCCCACACCTCTCAGATTAAGAGGGGTTTGGTTAAAAATGGAAGTCAAGTTTTGGTTGGACCTTGTGTGCAACTTTACCGCATTATCAGAGGAACTTTGTCATGAACGTCAGCGAGGATTGTGTCAGAAGATTCAAGAAGGAAACATGACAACATGTCACTTTAAAAACGTTCTTCTTTGGCTTTTGGAAAAATATGGATAGCCTTTTTTTTTATGTGGTCTTTAACCTGTTTTCTTTATAGAGACCCTAAATGATGGTTGTTATGTTGTGATTGTATATTTGGTGCAAAGTGCTCATTTCAGTTATTGCCTTAATTGCATTATCTCTGTGTTATTGTGCAAATGTTACTTTTCGAAAGATATGTTCAATGGCAATTTTACAATCAAAGTAATTTTTAAAAGTAATAATTCCTTATGGCTAAATGTATGCATTGCCAGCTACAGTGATAATCACATTTTGTGATAGTTATCTTGTTGATTGTGATGTAAGACTATGTACATTTCCATGTGTTTCAGTTAACCCTCCAGAGTGTAAGCCCTGTCTAAGCTAACATATGGAATTGTTTTAAGATGGTCATACCTAGGATCATTTAGCTATTTGATTTTGAATTTTAAGACCCCTTAAGGTATACATTTTTTTCGTTATTGGATGCAACATTGAATTTGGCATTACTACTACTAGCCAATAGAAATGCATTGAATAACAGATTCATTACATGGAACAACAGATAGTCCCCAAGAAAATCTAAAGGAAGTTTGTTCTGAAGTGTCTGTCCAATATCTGAGAGATCAGAAAGATCAGCAAACTATATATTTTTTTGACATGTATTTATCCCCTTATTTTAGGCACTAAACTACAGTATCTCCATATATATACACTTCCATTCATTTTTTAAACTGGTACCGGGGACCTTCTGTTTAGTTTTTAATTTAGTTTAATAATTCAACCATAAAAAAAATAAAAAAACAAGCACACATAAAAACTTGAAAAAGCCGTACATGCACGAGTAAAATCATTGAGGATAACACACAATAATGTCTTTGGACTAATTTCCATTGTGGTCGTCTTGAAACAAGATGGCTGGGCAAGACGGAACACCGGTTGAACACGGTATGATAATAAAACAAAAGACTAAGAAGAAGAACATCTATATCATCATCATCATAGGGGTCATTCATTTGGGCACAGAAGACATCAAACAGTTGCCCAGAGAGGATGTCGTGTTTTATGGGCAGAGGCAACTCATTCCACTCTGATGCTCCAGTATACAAGAAAGTAACTTTCCCAGTGTCGTCTCTCGTGTCCGAAGTGGGATGCTGGTGGTTATTGCTGTCAAACAAAGAGTCCGCTCACACTGAACCTTTGATCATAAGTTTTATTCATATCACAAGCTTTCAGCATGAGTTACAGGAGTCAAGATCCCCAGGAGAGCAGTGTCCTCGAATTCTAATGGCTGCTCTGCTTTCCTGTGCCCCCAGCATATACTTATAAACAATGTAAAAATATGGGTTGCTCCCTCTGCGGTCCAATCACCCGTCTCCCCTGGGGCGACACCCTACAACTGGCTACTTTTGAACTAACATAAACAACATTCCATTTCTTCATGAAAAACATTTAACAAAGGCATAATCCTAATACACTACACCAGCATTACCCCTGAACCTGTATAAGCACACATTAGCAACACCTGATCTGGTGCTGTGATTGTGTGCATCCCTAACACGGGGGGGGGGGGGGAGTAATCAGTTGGATATCTGGGCGCAGAAGAGTCTTTTGTGAGGCTTGTGGGTGTCCTAGAGCAAATCGGAGAATGCCATCTTGTTCGTGAGAGTCTCATCTTTCAATAGAGTGGTCATGATACTTTGTCGAACTTTGTTCCAAACCGTTCCTGACACTACAGATGTTTTATTTTTAGAAGACCGGTTTTTCGGGACGTCTCACGGTCTGATAAACACCGCTCTGCCACCTTTCACCGCAGATGCGGAAGGGCGATATCGGTGGATGTGGTGGATTGAGACGCAGCCCATGCAAAACAACTGATATCTCTAGTTTTATCAGACGGATTTTGAGGGGAGTTTTTTATTATTATGTTAATTGGATTAGATAACAAACACAGAATTCCAGATACAACTGCTTAGTTTCAAAATAACGGAAAACGCAGAATTAAATGTATATAAAAAAACATGACATCGCAAAGCAGAATGTATTAAAAATATCAAATCTTTACATATTTAGAAAAATAATGAAGTGATTCACAATGAAAATTGTTTACTTTTGCTTTTCATCCAAAAAGGTTAATGGTTTTGCCATCCTTTTAGGTTGATGTTGTTCAATGGATTCATGAGGACATTGGGAGTCTTGGCAAAAGCAAACTCCTGGCTAACTTGTGACATACCGTAGCAGAAAATAGCAAGCCGACAGATCTAAGATCACTATGTGTTGTGATAAATGGTTACATGGAAATATTCCCTCATTTTAAAATAAAGAATAGCATGCAAACAAGTGGATCAACCCCCAAAAAAAAAAACATTTGATTGAGCTTGATTTAATTTCAAAAGACAGATTGTCTTTCTATCACAGAGTTTGGCATCCATCCTTTTCCAGGAGGGGAGGGAGGTCCATTTTGGTGGTCCATTTTATGACCCGCAGTCAGTCTTAGATCCCAAGATGGCCGTCACAGCTCAGTGGTACTGCCCCCAAAAAGGTCACTAATACTGCCCCAAAGTGGCCGTCACTGGTCAGTGATTCTGCCCCAAAAATGGCAGTCACATACTGACCCAAGATGGCGGCCACTCACAGGTCTGTGGTGCTGAGCGAAGGGTTAGCGAAGGTTAAACTAGGGCTGTCGTTGTCTTTCTTCCTGCCATGCTGGGCCAAGGCTTCACCTAGAGGCTCGCTGTACGGATTATCTGCTCCCCCCTCCTCATCCTCCTCCTGGATCATCTACACAGGGAGGAGACAGGCATGACCATCCATAATAATGGTAATAACATAGTAATAATAATAATAATAATAACTAATACGTTACCATCATGGGCATTGTATCCCTGTCAGACATGACTATGTCCATGTTGCAGTCCAAGGAATTGAGGCTTGAATTTAAAAATGAAATTCAGTAAATTAGAGCCATATACAAGGGGAGGCCGTGATGATGATGACATCTTAATTATTTGTTAACAGTAATAACTCAATACTTTGAGATATTTTCTACCTGACTCTGTCTGCATTAGATCCTTCCTCGTCGAAGCCCAGGTCTGTGGCTGTGTCGATGTTTAGGTTGAGCACAGGGTTAGCCCTAGAAACAAATATAGGGACACTGTTACCCCTAGACACACACCCAGGGTCAGAGACAACCCCGTTACCCTAGACACACACCCAGGGACAACACCGTTACCCCTAGACACACACCCAGGGACAGACACCACACTGTTACCCCTAGACACACACCCAGGGACAGAGACAACACCGTTACCCCTAGACACACACCCAGGGACAGACACCACACTGTTACCCCTAGACACACACCCAGGGACAGAGACAACACCGTTACCCCTAGACACACAACCAGGGACAGAGACAACACTGTTACCCCTAGACACACACCCAGGGACAGACACCACACTGTTACCCCTAGACACACACCCAGGACAGAGACAAACACGTTACCCCTAGACACACACCCAGGGACAGAGACAACACCGTTACCCCTAGACACACCCAGGGACAACACCGTTACCCTAGCACACACCCAGGGACAGAGACAACACCGTTACCCCTAGACACACACACAGGGTCAGAGACAACACTGTTACCCCTAGACACACACCCAGGGACAACACCGTTACCCCTAGACACACACCCGGGGACAGAGACAACACCGTTACCCCTAGACACACACCCAGGACAGAGACAACACCGTTACCCTAGACACACACCCAGGGACAGAGACAAAACCGTTACCCTAGACACACACCCAGGGACAAAACCGTTACCCTAGACACACACCCAGGGACAGAGACAACACCATTACCCTAGACACACACCCAGGGACAGAGACAACACCGTTACCCCTAGACACACAACCAGGGACAGAGACAACACCGTTTCCCTAGACACACACCCAGGGACAGAGACAACACCGTTACCCCTAGACACACACCCAGGGACAAACACCGTTACCCCTAGACACACACCCAGGGACAGAGACAACACCGTTACCCCTAGACACACACCCAGGGACAGAGACAACACTGTTACCCTAGACACACACCCAGGGACAGAGACAACACTGTTACCCTAGACACACACCCAGGGACAACACCGTTACCCCTAGACACACACCCAGGGACAGAGACAACACCGTTACCCCTAGACACACACCCAGGGACAGAGACAACACCGTTACCCTAGACACACACCCAGGGACAACACCGTTACCCCTAGACACACACCCAGGGACAGAGACAACACCATTACCCTAGACACACACCCAGGGACAGAGACAACACCGTTACCCCTAGACACACACCCAGGGACAACACCGTTACCCCTAGACACACACCCAGGGACAGAGACAACACCGTTACCCCTAGACACACACCCAGGGACAACACCGTTACCCCTAGACACACACCCAGGGACAGAGACAACACCGTTACCCCTAGACACACACCCAGGGACAGACACCACACCGTTACCCTAGACACACACCCAGGGACAGAGACAACACCGTTACCCCTAGACACACACCCAGG